GTTAAGTTATTAGAATTGTTTCAGAATTAGACCATTTTCTTCTTATATTGTTTTACTTTACAGATTTGTAGAACATTAGGTATGGAATATGATTATTTTTCTTGCAGCCAAAGCATGCAGTGAATGTGATTTGAGCTATATTGTGCAGATCTGGCCTCCTAAATTATGGCTGTTAGGTTAAGTTCATTTTTTTTTAAAAAAAAAATATTACTTTTAAAGGCCATTTTAAGAATATGTAGGAAAGTTGTAATGGAACAAGGAAACTAGAATCAGCACTGCAAACATTTGGCAGAATAATAACTGGATAGTGGTATTGTATGGATCATGTATATGCTGTGAATGAGCTAGGTTAAGTCCACAAGAAGCAGCTGGAAACAACTGATATTTGTCTATCTTTGTATAGCTCATAAAAGTAGCTTTAGTTATAATACCTAAGGCAGAATGCACTATGCTCCTTTAACTTCTTGACAAGACGATTAGTCTGCAGACATGTTAGACATTTTGTCTTATATTAATGGAAAAAAATAAATTTACCTTACATAATCCGGATATTCTGGTTTATTTCAGCTCTAGGTTTAAGACGTACTTGTTTAAAGCAAAAAAGGCTTTGTTGGTATAATTCACTGAAACTGTCTTTCAGAAATATACAAATCAAGAGTCACATTCATTTATTTTCCTAGATACTAGTTTTCTTCAGTTTTCTGTGTAAATATTTAGGTTATTAAATTTGCCAATATTTCTACTCATATATGCCAGTTTTTGTTCTTATTTTATAGATGTTACTTGGACATAAAAGAAATGTTACTAAATACCAATTGCCTAAGGCTATTACGGAGTCATTCAAATATTTTCCACTTGATTTGTTCTAAGACAGCACTTTCCATTGGTTGTTAATTTTGGCATATATTATGTAAATAGTAAAAATTACAGGTGTGCTTACTTTCCAACTACCTTATTTCATGTTTGTGAAGTTTAGATCTTATGGGAAACTTACTACATGTCATAGAACAAGCTATAGAATGCTGCTGAATTTTCTCTATTTGAATCTAAGAAACATTGACAAGCTTCAGATGCAAGGGCTACTTCTAAATGAATGGATAAAAATGCCAACAACACTTTATGTAGGGAATACAAGCTCATTGTAGAATATCACATTTGAATAACGGTTCATATATTGGGCTCCTTGTGAGCAGCATGGTGGCCTAGTAGTGAAGACACTTGCCTTCCACTCGGAAGGTTGAGAGTTCAATCCTAAGTACCAGCAGGCATTTTTCTTCTAGGGTGCAAAGAAAAAATATCTGCTGCAAACTCTGCATGGCATCAGGAAGGGCATCCAACCAGGAAATGGTTGGCTCCATCTAGTTGCCCTGATTCTATCTCAAATTAAGTATTTATAGGGTTGTAAAAAAATGGGGGGGTGTTATATTGGGTTCGTTATATTTTTGATGCAAATTCATTAATTTTTGACAATAAAACCAGATGAGATATTGCAAAACACATGATCTCAGATTTGTAATCTGAGTTCTTGAGTTCAGCTTTGATTTAGCGTGAAAAAATGATTACTTGGGAACCATGTTTCATTCTTACCTTGTTGATTTTGTGATGTAAATGGTGTTATGTAAAATGTAGCTTATTCTTTAAATTGTTATAAGGAGAAAGTGATAGAGAGGAAATACAGTTCATTTAAAGAATTTATTACCTTCTTCAGTACCACTCTACTAATTAACAGTACTCTTACCCACTGCAGCTTTGTAATAAAATATTCAGAATTTATTATAGTATTCATAGCATTTCTTACTTATCATTAAAAATTACTCAGTTTTCTTAACAAAACAGCCCATTTATCTCAAAAGAAATACTTACCAGGCTTTGAGTTTTAACAGACAAGAAGTATTAGGTCCCCAAATGTATTTCTTAAGAACTATGCTTCTTTGAAAAATAAAAGGCTATTTTCTCATTCTGTTTCTAGGTTTTCACATCCCATGGACCAACAGTAATTATGCCAACTTGGTTCTGTTCTCGGGAATGGTTTTATCTTGTAGGAAGATTTAATGAAGAAGGAAAGGTACGTAATATGAAAAGGAGAGGAACATAACCTAATTATGGGAAAGATTGATCTTACTCTTTCCCAGTTGGATGCCCTCCAGATATGTTAGAAGTACGGTTATGAGAATCTCCACCCAGCAGTGCTTTTGGCTAGAAATTCTGTGAGTTATATTCCTAACATATCTAGAGGCCTCTAGGTTGGGAAATCTATGCAATAATGTCTCAAGAGATGCTTGCACCATGCGATCCTAATCAAGGTTGAAATTCTTCATCAAACACTTCACTGAGTTATATTTAATTAAGAAATTAGCCTGTTTTTCAAAGTGTCATTGATAGAGGAACTGAGCAACACAGATCTATTACTATGGCGTTTTTGTTGATTGATTGATTATGTGCCATCAAATTGATGCAAACTCATATAGCTAGATTTTCTCCAAGGCAATCTGTCCCCAACCTGTTCCTTCAGCTCTTCCAGGAGAACACCATCATCACTGTAATTCATGATATAAAAATGTTAATATTGTCAGCAGTAATATTACCTCTGGGGAAGCACAAAAAAAGGAGCACTAATGTGATGCTATTTGTTCTGTTATTTGTGAAGACATTATTGCCAATCTGTATTGACTGTCAGGGTTCCAAGTAACACCTGCAGTGAAAAAAGACTCTGAGGCTTGAGTTTCCTCAAAGTTCCATTTTATTAGAGATGTCATATTGGCACATCTGGGGAAACCTGAATCTGAAAGCGTCCAAGTTTTCCCACCCAGTTGAAAGTTCAAGACCCTGCCCAGCACCCACATGTCCATCACATGGTCCAATCAGTCATGGCCACGAAGGAAGATTTTTCCCATCTACGTACATCCGTCCAGATGCAGGGACAAGGCGACCTTGACTTTCTGAGAAGGAATGTTATTATGGCTACATATCACCCATACCCTGTATAATCCCCCCTCCCATTTTCCTACAGTAGAAAATTGGTAAACGTTCCAGAAGTTTCTCTA